TAAAAAAGGACTCTTCTTTTGTGTGTTTCAAAAGCATTACTGCAGCTTGGTTTAAAATTTATACTATTTCTATCATTAATAAAGTTATGGCTTTTTGTGGGGAAAACAAGCAAACAAAACAAAAACTTCCAGGCAGCCTCAGGGATGGGAGAGCAGGCCAATAACAGCATCTCCTTCGAAGTCTGAAGGGCAGGCGTGACTTTTGACCAAAGTCACTCATAGCCCTGTGTCTCCTCACAGCGTCCCGCGCCCCCCCCCCCCCCATTGGCATCTGCTTTTTGCCTGGGAGCAGAGGGCCCTGAGAAGCAGCCAGGTCTGTACAGGACCACAGGATGTGATGCAGAGCCAGCCTGGCAGGCCAACTCCTCCACTGACCCCAAAGCATAGGAAAGAGGGAGGGCTCCAGGTCAGGACTGCCCAGCTCTCCCCCAGCAAGGAAGTGCCTCTCCTGCATGTCCTGTGGCTAAGTCACAGTTCAGCAGCCCCCAGGAGAAGTGACAGGCTCTGACAGAGCCTGAGTCATCTATCTGATGGGCACCAGGAGGCTCCAGCTTCCTTGGGGTGTGACGACCGTAGGTAGAAAAGAAAGCCAGTTCCTCCTGCGGGAAGGTCCCATGAGGCTCCGATGAAGAAATCTCACCTGCACTCCCTGAGAAGTGAGCCCCAAGCCGATCCCCAGGAGGAAGTAGGGTTGATGACAGATGCTGGGTTTCTCAGACAGAGAAGCCCAAGAAGCCTCCCCCAGCATAGTCTCCTGCCTGTCCCTCTGGGGCTGGGACTGGAATTGCCAGGCTCTGATGAAGGAGTCCATCTCCGGGGCCCCGGGAGCTGGCCCTCTGCAGTCCCACTGTAGAGAGCACCTCAGAAAAGCCCGTGAGCTGATCTGAATCCAGTGGCGTCTGGCAGAGCCATGCCCTGGAAACATACCTTGCCAGAGGCAGGTGTGTTGTCAGCCTGACCTTTAGCTCCAGTGCCAGGGGGTGGGTTTCATTATCTAAGTTCAGCCAGGCACCAGGAACAGACGCAATTATCTGGGCACAGCCAGAGTGACAATTACAAAGAAGCCACAAGATTGAAGAATCCCAGTTTGATCTTTAACCAAGATTTCATATAATTTCCTTTATCTTAAACTTTAGTAAAACTTCCTGGCATCATATTGTATAAAATAAACATGCTCCACCGGCTCTGGGTCACTCTCTCTCCATCAGAGGGCCAGCTGTCCCACCCGGCCCCAGCTTTTCCCCTCTGTATCTGTCTCTTTCTTTCATTTTCTCAATCCCCAGCCGCCCCTACTCAGGATTCATAGATGGCTCTCTAGCCACGCTGAACATGGTAAAAGAGAGAATACTTATGTCCCACAAAGGGGGTCCTGTGATTACAAAATTGGCTGAGTGCTTCAGGCCACCCATCCACTCTAGCGCTGCCACCCTGAATGGAGGGTCAGGCTGAAAGCCCCTACCTACACTCTTTCAACCCCTCATAGATGCAATGCCCTCTCCTTGGAGCCACGGGCAGTGAGAACCACATTCCTAACCGAGGGAGGCCTGGCCCCTGGTGCCCTCAGAATACAGTGGACTCCAAAACTGACTAAGTTCTAAAAGAGGTCGGCAATGATTTCTCCAAAAACTGAGCGGCCCCAACTTACCCCCCACCCTCTGCCCTACTAATGCAGAACCTTTGTAGGTTCGCAATAAATGGTAAGTTTATCTTTCTATCATGTTTGTTACCATCCCCACCACTACCACCACCACCAAACATCTACTATCCCCTCTGCTGAGGTCAAGCATAGCAATTTCCTGAGGCCCAAGTCAACCTGACTAAAGTGAATGTCAGGAGGCAGACCAGAAGGCAGACCTACAGCTCCACACACACCTGTCTAGCTGGGAGAAGAGTGCTGAGAATGAGACAGGAGCTCCGAGGTTAGCCCCTCTATGAACCCCTCTTCCCAGCTCTGAAAAGAGCCTCCTTGCTCAGCCCCTCATACTTTGCACCCCATCTCCTCTTTGATCTTGGCAGGACAGGGCCCCTTCCTGTTGAGTCCCCAATCCCATCACTTTTGGCTTCCAGCTTCTCTGTTCCCCTAAGAGACAGTAGGATAATGAACTCAGACACATTCTGTTCAAAGCCAAGCTCAGCCCGAGTCCCCTCTGCCCGGCTGACCAGCCTCTCCAGCATGCATCTGTCAACGTATCCCTTTCTTGGGATGCTCCCACAAGACAGCATGTCTAAGGCCCCACATTCCTTCTGTCTCTGTTTCGATCAGGATCCAGTCTGGAGAGCAGAAGCCCATGAGGAATTGCCAACCAAGAGAACTGAGCACAAGGACTTGGTTGCACGTATGTGAGAAGGCTAAGGAGTACAGCCGTGCTGTTGATGAATTCTGGATAGTAACAACTGCAGGAGGGAAACCGAGGGAACAAAAGAGCCAGGAGCTCAAAGGAGGGACCTCATAGGACTGATGTCCAGACTGCAGGAGGGATCCCGGCCATGCTGATGCTTGGACAGTCTGAAAATAGAGTGGTGGGTGCATGAACCACAGAGGCAGAGAGGAAGGGCCAGCCCAGGAGGCTCTCAGAGGGCCCACGGGGCACAGCCCAGAGAGCTGTGTCTTCATTGATTCAAGAGCTTTTGGGTATAGCTTGAACTTTTTTCATGCTCAGATGAAGGTTGCAGAAATCTGTGCATTATGGGATTGTGCATCCTCATTGCCTCAGTCCTTGTCCCACTTGATCCTGACCTTGCCCTAGCTTCCTGACATTCAGAGAATGCAGTCTTCCCAGATTCCCCAGCAGTCAGCATTCATTCGGAAGTCCCCAGTTTAAATGTTAGTGTGAATAAATACCAGAGGAATTAGAGGGAACAGGGGTGATGGTGATTAGAGGGAAGAACTGAAACATTAGGATGGATAATTGAAGAGCAGAGAGCCCATCTACTGAAGAAATGGACCATAACTTTGGTCTTGGGGTAGAAGGGATACCCTAGCTGTGTTTGAGAAGGCTTTCAATGTTTATGCTGGTTATAAAAAGGAAGGAGCATGGTTCTGCTCTATAAACATCACCAAGCTTGCTAGATTCTTTCTATTAATGCTTTATTGTGTTATAGAACAAAGGGAAATTGTGTACATCATTAAGTGTGGCTTGAATTGACTACAAGTACGTACTCATTAAGCCAAAGATCCTAGACATGGGAATAATTTTTAAGAGATCACTGAATCCAGATTCTAATTTTCAAGCTCTCCAATATTATCACCCATGCTTGCTTGGTCACGTGCACTGCTAGCTTGCTCACTTCACCTGCCCATGATCTCATTGAGTTGAGGGACCATCCGTGGGAACCAGGTGAGGTGGGAGAGGGTGACCATTCGCCACTGGAATCTCCAGAATCTGTCATGGAGGCTCAGTCTCTATAATAACTTACTCGTGTAACCAAGCTGACAGTCACAACTAATAAAGTAGAAGGAATTGTGAAGCAGGAGAAGTTATCTGGCACCCACAGTTAACAACTACACAGAATCAAATTTATAGTAGAACTGGGTTTAGAATCTACAACTCCCAACCCCCAATCTGGTCATGGGGCTCACCAGTTCCCCTGGGACTTCTGAGAAGACCAATGCCACTGCAGTTCAGGCCTTACCCTGGGCCACCTGCAAGCAGGGCTGGGGGTCTGGCCTGAGCATGGCAACCGGTACCCACCTCTGTTCAACCAAGGGGGCAATGTGATGTGTGCTGTGAACCACAGAGAAGAGCATGGGCCCTTTGAACTCTGGATGTTTTGGGGAAGTGCCAAGGAAATCCTAGCTGCCTGTTCAGGGCAACCATTACCAGTGGGGGTGGGGGAATGTAGTTGCACCAAACCTCTGCCCACTCCCAGGCATCCCAAGCCCATCGCATATGCCTTGCTTCCCTGTGGGCTGTACCATCGCATCTTCCTGAAGCCAGTCTCGCCATGAAACCCAGATTGTAGGGTGTGAGCCAATGTGCTATTTAACCTCCCCTCCCTCATGTAAAAATGAAGGACAAATTAACAAAAATGACCCATAAATTACTCACCAAAATGGCAGAAGCATTAAAAGCATTAAGACAAAAGAACCCAACTCTATAGGACCAACATAGGATTTAAATTTCCCTAAATTTAAAACAGCTTTTGACCAAATTGGACACATGTGCAGCCAAAAAACAAAAATAACTAAAGCCTTAATTGTTCAGCTCCTGGTACAAAATTTAAGGAAGGGTTGTAGGTTTAATGCCTAAAGTTTAAAATTCCTGGACAAAGAGCCAAATGACAGACAACTTTTGGCCTTCAGTCAATGAGCTACATCACTCAAAATACACATGCCGTGAATGAGAAAGTGAGGAACTGAACATCATCAGCCATTGTAGAACTTTGGGCAAAATTCATCATGGAATGAAGTTAAAAACTAAGGTACTTGGGAGAAAATAATTGCAATACATCTAGCAAGCTAACAATTACTAGCCAAAGTTTTAAAGTTGTTTCAACTCATCAATAAGGAAAATGCAAGTAATTCTATAGAAAAATGAGGAGTAGATGTAAAAAGCATTCCACCAAGAAGAAAAATATAAATATCCAGTAAATAGAAGTAATTACAGTTACCTGTACTAGTAATTAGCAAAATTCAAATCAAAGCAATCATGAGATTCAGTTTCTGGCCATCAGGAGGCACAAATTAAAAAGGTGGTAGGCAATGTTGTGAGAAAACAGTCATAGTGTGGGTGAGAAAACAGTTTCACAAGAGCTATTAAAATCCTAAACGTGTCCCTGCCCAGTTTGGCTCAGTGGATAGACCGTCCTCCTGAGGACTGAAGTGTCCCGGGTTTGATTCTGGCCAAGGGCACATGCCCAGGTTGGGGGCTTGATCTCTAATAGGGACTGTGCAAGAGGCAGCCGATCAATGATTCTCTCTCATCACTGATATTTCTCCCTCTCTATCCCTCTCCCTTCCTCTCTGAAATCAATAAAGATATATTTAAAAAAGAACCTACCTGTTAAGTAACTTTCCACTTCAAAAGCTGGGAAAATCCAATTCAAAGTGGATAAAACAGTAACAGTGTTTAGATCACATCACTGGAAGTCCAGAAGTGGTAGAGGATCAGGGTTGCTGATCTAATAGTTACACGATGTCAGCAGGGATCATTTACTTCGTGCAAGAAAGAGATGCCTCTTCCACATAAAGCCTTCCATGCCTGTCCGAGCCAACTTGGGCGGCACGCTGTCAGTCAAGCTCTAGCAAGAAACATGACATGCAAACTTGGCAATTCGAGGTAAGTGTAATTCAGGAGTCATTTACAAAGACGTGGGCTAAGTATAGGGAAGCCCCAAGGCAGGGTGCAGAACCCAGGCTAGTGACAGTAGGATACTCCCCTTAGCACCAGGAGGCCTGAGGGGACACGAGGAGGGTGGTTACCAGATCAGAGAGAGCTCTGTGGAGAGGACCACTAGATAGGAGACGGGGTCTTCATCAGGAAAAGTAGTCATCCTGGGGTGACCCCACGGGAAAATCACCGGGGATCAAAACCCCAACTTACTCCCACCCCCCTCCAGGGTCTTGCCCGTGGATCTCGAAGGGTTATTGGAAGACACCAAGCAAAGTCTAAGCCAGTGGTTCTCAACCTTCCTAATACAGCTCCTCATGTTGTGGTGACCCCCAGCCATAAAATTATTTTTGCTGCTACTTCATCACTATAAAGTTGCTGCTGTTATGAATCGTCATGTAAATATCGGATGTGCAGGATGTATTTTCAGGGGTCGCGACTCTAAGCCTTTCCTCCTCAGGTTCTCCCTCCATGAGTAAGAGATGTCCCCTACTCCAAGCGAGGGCATCAGCTTTATAGTCATTCACCTACTGAAGGACAGCTCGATGGCTTCCAGGTATGGGCCATGATTAATAAAGCTACGATAAAGATTCACTTGCATATTTTTGTGTGGAGTGCCATTGCTGTATCATGTGCCAGGACTGTGTTTCGCTTTGTTAAAAACAAATTGCCAGTCTGTCTCCAGCGTGACTATAACGTGTTGCATCCCCACCAGCAATAGTTCCCATTGTTCCACATCCTCACCTGTATTTGGTACTGTCAGTATTCTGGATTTGGGCCATTCTGATAGGTACATAGTGGTATCCCCTTGCTGTTTCATTTGTGTTTTCCTGATGACATAGGATGTGGAGCATCTTTTCACAGGCATAGCTCCTTCAGTGAAGTGTCTTGTTCAATTTTTTTTTTTTTGCCCAGTTTTGGGTGGTTTGTTCTCATATGAATGAGTTTTAAGAGATCTTTGTATATTTTAAGTTTCATTCTTTCTTTGTACTTTTGTTCATATGCCTACCAGAAAATTTAGAATTCCCTACATGGCTCATATTTGCGCCTCACATCATGCTTACATTGGACACTAGTCTAAGAGTGAACTGTGGGGCCAGAAAGACCCAGGAACAGCACGTGCTGAAGACCCAGCTGCCCTCCCAGCCTGTGAGGATGGGGCGGGGCTGAGAGACAGGGCAAAGCACATTTCGGTGTGATGTATTTAACACACTGATTTTTGCAACCCCAAAAACAAAACATTGAATTCCCAGCTTTTGAAAGTTACGTACCAAGGAATATGTGCAGCTGGCATGCCCATCTGATGGCTCGGCTTCTCCACATCCCTCACCCCCAGACCCGGTGCTGTGGGGCTCAGGCAACTGTGTGTCACCTGGATTCCCCCTGCTGCCGGTTAATGGTCCACTTGCCTCCAACCCTCACTGACTCAGGCCATCCTGCTCACTTCAGTCAGACAGAGTTTTCCAGAATGCTCATCTGCTCTTGCACTGTTCTCTAAAACCTTCAAGGACTCCCTATTGCTAAGGCAATAAAGTGCAAGCTCTTAGGCATGTGCCCTGGCTAGGGACAGAGGCGCACTCACAGGGTGAGAGGGAGAGTGCGCGAAAGTGCAGGCCGGTCCAGAGAAATCCTGGGAGATGGAGAAGGACCAGCTGCCACGCTGAAGTCCATCACCTCCTCCAGATGGGAAGGGGCAGGAGAGGGCTGGAGCTAGCAAGGGGGCTATGCTAACCTAACTCTCCCCTTTCTCTGATCTCCTGCGGCCTGAGCACAACTAGAAGACAGGACAAGAGACCTTGGAAACTGGCCACAGGGTCAGTCTCACAGGTGTAGGGCTGGTAGAGACAGGGCACCCCACCTGAGGCCCGGGGGGCACACATCACCTGGATTCCTGCCCTCCCGTAACTGTCCACCCTGCTCCAGGCGGTTCACCTTCCTCTCCTTCACGCCACTCCCCTGAGTACTGCCCTCCACACTGTCTACCCCGAAAGCTCTGCAGTGAGACCCCAAGACCTGTTATGAGCTGATGCTGCTCACCTCCTTGCTCACCTTAGGTTCACAAATGAAAGTGTTTGGCTCATCGCAAACCCCTTAAAGAACCTCCTCATGGGTCCTGCTGCAGAGAGGGCCCAGCTGCCAGGGCATCCGGAGACCTTGAATCACCTTTACTGTCTGACCCTGGGGGAGCTGCGCAGCAGTCTGCGCTGCCTTCTGTGACCAGCAGAGGGCGCCATGACACTGAGAGACATTGGGTGAGTGTGAGTGACAGCCTCGGGAGCCCACACCTGGGGCTGCAGAGCTGAGCCCTGTGGGTTCCCACGGGCGGACCGCTTTCATAACCAGGGAATCGTGCTTTTGAAACTTCTTTTTTACTACAGTGCACGCTTTGAAATACATTTACCTTCCAGTTCAGTGCACATGTACATGTATATTTATTACCCACTTCTAATATTAACCTGCCTAAATCTAATGACTAAAGGTATTTCATAGTGAAGTAAATGCAAAAAATAGTTTGACAAAATAAAATTTAGCTGATTCATTAAAGTAAACTTTGGGGCTTAGTACCTTCAGCAAATTAGTTTTTAATAGTTTGTTTTTAGCCGAAACCGGTTTGGCTCAGTGGATAGAGCGTTGGCCTGCGGACTGAAAGGTCCCAGGTTCGATTCCGGTCAAGGGCATGTACCTGGGTTGCGGGCATATCCCCAGTGGGAGATGTGCAGGAGGCAGCTGATCGATGTTTCTCTCTCATCGATGTTTCTAACTCTCTATCTCTCTCCCTTCCTCTCTGTAAAAAATCAATAAAATATATTAAAAAAAATTATAAAAAAAAATAGTTTGTTTTTATATGACTGACACATTTATTTTGTAAAATACTCAGATCTTTATTGACTACATGAAAATATTTAGCAGTAAATGCATGGAATGCATATTAGTACATTTTTTTCACCACATGCTTAATTTTTGTGGGTTTTCAGTGCAACTTACTTGGAAATGACTTTAAAATGCAGATGACAAAAATTATGAAGATCTGACTGTTTGAAGCAGTAAAGGCCTACCATCTCCTTAAAGTGAAGCATTTAATTTTCCAGTATTATGTCTTTATTTTCTGAGCAGCCGAACGCAAAACTAGAAAGTCATGAGATTTGTGTCCTACTCGCTGACCTCACTGGGGCTCGTGTGAGCTTTCCTGACTGACACAAATGTAAACTCGATGAGCTCCTCTCTGCCAGGCTTGTCTGTCATTCTGACATGTTCATTCGCATGGCAGGTGCTGATGAACCAGCCCTTGTGGGCCGCCGACTCCAGTGTGTTCCAGCACCTGCTCTCCTTCCTGTAGAAGGTGAAGCCCTTCAAATCTTTTGTGTCTGAGGCATGCAGCTGGGAGATGTTCTTCTTCTGTGAGGTAGAAGGGAGTGGTCAGCAGCACAGCCTCCGCCCAGGGAAACCTCAGCATGGGCTCTTGGAGCTCAGAGCCAGGGAGGGCCAGCAGCTCTCTAGCCGGCTTTCCCGAGGTGGGGGCGGCGGGGGGGGTGTTCCTGTGGCCCTGGCCCAGGGGAGAAGTATAGCGGGGAGCGGGGAGCGAGGGCACTGCCGGCCTGGCCTTCCCCTTTGGGGTGGCTGAGAGGACAGGACGCTGGGTAGGAATGAGCGCTCACCTTCAGCTGGAGGGCCGGCCGACCTTTCTTCTTGTCCATCTCACAGTAAAGACACAGCTCTCCTCCTGAGACGGCCAGGAAAACGGGGTTTCCCTTGTTACCCTCTGAGCTCAGGGTAGAGGCTAAGACATAGAAGGTCTCTGGGAAAAGAGTCACAAAAAGCAGGGTGGTCCTCAGAGCAGACATGAGCCTTCTGTCTGTGGGGCTGCAGGCTCCTTCACTCGGGTGCAAGCCTCCTCCTCCCCCACAGACCAGAGAGACTCCCCTCAGATCTTGTGCCCTCAGACCCTCCACTCCACACTGCATTCCCAGCAGTCCCGGGCTGCTCCACCCACTGCCTGCCCCCTGCTGGAGCTGGAGGTGTCCTACAGCCTGAGCTGAGCCCCAGTTGGAAGGACTTGGGGGACAGAAAACAGGAGAGAGAGAGAGAGAGAGAGAGAGAGAGAGAGAGAGAGAGAGAGTCACCTGGGCGTGTGTAGGATTTTTTATGAACTGCTATGAGGGTCCCACAGTTCAGCACCAATACTTTGTGGTCCCGGTCATGAAGGCTGAATTTCTGTGGTTCTGGGTACTTCACTCTTGGGTCTAGATGAATATAACCAGATGTCAACACTTCACATTGAAAAGGAAAACTCAATCCTTCTTAGGCCACAGGAGGGTCCCAGCCCCGCCCTCCTCCTGCCTGTGGGCTCGGACATCAGCCCACTGAAGACCTCCCCACCCCAGGCTCCCTGCCTTGCTCCAGACCAGCGATTCAGCACATGTGTGAGCACGTGAGTTCCCAATTTTGGCACGTGGGTTCAGCCCCAAGCTCTGTGACTTCCTGCTCTAGCACATCGCAGACGCCACTGTTCTCTCCAAGCCTCATGTCCTCGTGTGCAGAATGGGGGTAAGAACAGCACCTACCTCCCAGGGGTGTTGGCAGGAATAAAATGCTTCCTCAGTGAAGGACACTTAGCCAGGTGTCTGAGTGTGGAAAGAACTCAGACAGAGAGCTGTTCATCATTACTATGCTCATCGTTATTCTTCTTCACCCCTCTGCGGCACCCAGCAGTGCCTGGGGGAAACCCATCCCGGCACTGGCCAGACCAATGGAGGGGCAGTGGAGGGTGCGAGGTGGAGGCAGGAAGCACAGGAGGCCGCATCCTGAGACCAGCTGGCTCTGCAGGCCCGTCAGAAAGCGGCAGGCCTTGAGCCTGG